AACATTGCTTAAACTGTTTCTTCTTTCCTCGCCTTCCGAACATTGTTTTAAAAGCTAGGTTAAGAACAACTATAAACACATCCACAATTCACAAATTTAAACGGCCCCATGGTGATATAATTAGCTCTTCGTGACAACATGCTTTGGCATATTTACAAAACACTTCAACAATTACATTGCATTTCAAGTGGAAATCAATCATCTGCAAGAGTGACCAGGGGCAGGATATTCATCGCTTCAAACAAGGAAGTGGAAAATATCGCGGCTGTAAAGGCAGAGGATTTCACAGTAGGCTTATATATACTAACTACCACAAGCCGTGTCTTCATGCACTAATCAAAGAAAGTACATTGAAAACAAAACAAGTTTTAAACAACAGGTAAGAAGCGGTATATATATGAAGAGGTGGATTCGCTTTAGGAGACTATAGAAACTTCACACGACACCAAAGAAAGAAGTCTAAGAAATTTTAGTATATCCGTGTATGTTCCCTTTTCGTTGTGTTTAGAAAGGCGGTCGTATAAACAAACCGTAGCCGTAGGCAACTGACGAAGGAAGATTATAAAGTGAATTGGAACTGTTTGGTTTCGATATAATTCTCAGTATGTATAGTTATTTCAAATACGTGTTAGCAAAGTTTAATACAAGGGAATCTTTTATCTAGCTGAGCAATTTTTTAATTATATAACATCCGGTAGCAAAGTCATGGTTCTTCAGGAAGAAACGTTTATAGCGGTAACTGCATGTTATTTGTACGGCTGAAAGCGAAAGAGAGAGTTGGCCAAAATCGTCTTGCTTCTAAAACTATTTTTGTCCAAACTACAACTGAAGCCCTTTTTCAAGGAACACAGGCGAAAACACTTCAAGGCAATTAATATTATGTTCTTATAAAGAAGAAATGAAGAGTTGAAAGCCTGCATTATGTATTTTCGTATCGTTCATCGCCAGACATCAGTTCTAGCTTTCCTTCATGTAGTTTTCCAACAGATAGATCATTTTAGAGGAATTATATCAGTTATATGAATCTCTTATCGAACGAAAACTTGATGCCCAAACTGATTCCAAGGCGTCACTTTTACATCCATTTGCGAACACAATATTTCATTTCACGAAAGCAAAAAAGGCAACATGTATTTCAAAAACGAGCATTTTGACAAGAACACCGAAGGTTTGTAGTATTATATAAATACCACTCTTTCGGCTGTACTTTTTTGCTAAATTGATCGACTGTTTCGGATGATGAATCGATCATATAAAATATCAAAAAATTAATATATTATAATGCTATATACCTGTTTGCTGAGAGGGATCTAGCCGGCTATCTTTTTTGGGAAAGGATCACAATTAGCCTGATACATTCGTGATGGCTTTCCGTAGTGTTCCGAGATTTAAACCCAGAGACTAAATTATACTGTTTACACTTGAGAATATTTACATTAGCGAACTCAAGATTCGCTTAAGGCCCGTTAGCGGATATCATGCAGAATCACAATTAGTTGCCGAGACCGTTTTGTTTTAGAAGAAATTTAACTCAATTACCTGTCGTCCCTCACCAAAACTTCTGACTTACAATGCAAAGAAACAGACAAGAAATAAACCATTTAAAATACAACAAATTTGCTTACGTAAAGGCTAAAGCGATGCTTTATTGTCTTCATTGTCTTGTACCGAGACACGTTGATCAACAATAGTCAATATTTGTCAGATTTATCGAGCTAAAATGAAGATTAACGTGATCATAATCAATACGAATCATACCACAGATGTTTTAAAGCGTTGTGATGGTGCTATCAAACAAAAATATTACGGAAAGGCATGCACATCTAAAGCACGTCGTCAAGTCAACAATTTCAATACGCCATGGCACCGACAGATTAAAATTAATTCGCAAATACGTTAATTTAAACATAGCACAGCTATAATTTTCTTGTATGTTTGCATGGTGACATCAATAATAAGTAAATTAGCTTGTAGGTACACCACGTAAGTATTTAATGCTGCAAAGCAATTCATTATTGCACTGATGAAAGCCCAGGTTAACGGACCGAAAACTTTGCAGTATTAAATACTTACGTGGTGTACCTACAAGCTAATTTACTTATAGCACAGCTAATTTTCTGAATACTTACTAAGACCGCCTTTTAGGCTTAGGTAACCAATGCCATTGAAACATAAAAGGTTCTATCTCAACCTCTTGCCTACTTGATTGCGATTTTACAAAAGTTTGAAACGAATGTCCTTCAATATTTCACTCGTTCAACGCTAGTTTCCAAGATGGAAGCGCACCATCCATGCCCAGTGTCCATGCCGCATTACAAAATTTGAATTTCAAATTTGCCTCGCAAATTGCAACACACCCTTGATTTTTATTGGTCAGATATTCTCAGTGGAGCTCTGATTGGTTGTCCAAACACCTGATGAATGATATCCTACTTACAAATATCTTTCATTTTCCATCATTGAGTGTGTCTGTTTTGCAGGTATAAAATTTTCAAGATGTACAACCCCGGAGCAGATCAGTTGCAAAGCAATATCGCATTCCAAGGTCAGATGTCGATGGCTTCACAACCCGACGCCCACATTACTCCCTTGCCACTCCCTCTCCCTTACACGGAATATGGGCAGCCCCAGCAACCTTTCTTTTTGCAACCGCAGACCCTCCTCCCCAGCGTCCAGCAGCAACAAGTCGTCAATACGGTTGTAGTGCAACAACCCGGTCCGATTGTCGCTCAGGGCCCCAGGGAGTGGACGTCTGACTTATCCGAGTGCGGTGGTGACTGTGGAGTGTGTAAGTCGATGATCTTTATACAGAAAGTCAGAAACTGGAACACGCACTGACGCACTTGCCATGACCATTGAACTATATAAGATATCGATATCGATTGTTACTGCAATCTTATATAGTTCAATGGCCATGACAGCCAATGGCAGCCATTTTTAGTTCATTAGTTTTTAATTTGCTGCGGTGGCGATGTTGATAATAATTCAACGATCTGTAAATCGTAAATACACGAGCATTGGTGGGATGAAGTTAGGATCCAGTTGTTTTGAGATCAACTGTTGCCCTTAATGCCTCATACCCGTTCATGCACTCAAAGAGGGCTAATTCTTTTCGTTTCCAGGCCTCGCCGGGTTCTGTTCTTGTGTCCTGTGCATACCATTCATACAATGCCAGCTCAGCGGTTCTGCTGGTGAATGTTGTTGCATCGGAATCATGTGTCCACTCGCTCTCCGAACAAAAATACGAATTAAACACAACATTAAGGTATGTTTGCCCAAGCCATCTGCTATTATATCCTGCACACTGAAATGGCTACTGGTTATGGTTGCTTAGTATAACGCCACCCCCCGCCACCCCCCCCCCTTGATCCATCCCAACCGCCAAACACCCCCCCCCTTGATCCATCCCAACCGCCAAACACCCCCTTGCCATCTCGTCTTGACTCTGTCAGATTTGCACCCCTCCCCCCTTGATCCACCCCAACCGCCAATACACCCCCTTGCCATCTCGTCTTGACTCTGTCAGATTTGCTCCTGGTTATAGTCCTCATTTATTTCAATTTTTCTTTCTTTCTCCACGTACTTAGGGCGATATCTTGGGGGACTGCTGTGTCTTGTTGTGTTGCTATTTCTGTGCCTTTTGCCAGATGCAACGAGAGGTGGATACGAACGGAATATGACACGTCAACAACAGTGAAACTGATAAACGCAATATAGAATTACCATTAGACCAGCCGACAATATAAAGAAGTAATTAAAGTAAAAAAACGTCTCCTGAATACACAAGACATTTTGAGAGTCAATATATGAGACTGGTTGAGACACAGGTAAATTTTCGACAATATATCTGAATGAAACTTGTTCGAGTCATATATTGCCACTCAAGATGTCTTGTTTTTTTTCGGAATTTGTTTTTTACTTAAATATAATATAATATTAAAGCATTTACACGTTCGTACTCTGAGGTTTGCGACGATATCAACTGTTAGATTTACAAGACAAATGCGAATGTTCTTCTCTGAACTCACTCAACAGTCAACTCGGTGCATTGGCAGGATGACGGATGACGTTTTAACCCTGAGGAGACCGGCCTATACAGAGTGTATAAAAAAACTGCAACCTTAATAATTCCCAGCGGCCTACGATCTTTTGTTATTGAATAGAAGCGAACATGTATATGAATATTGCATTGTAAAAAAATGTAAATTATTGTGAAATATGTTATTATAACGATGTTCTTGTATGGATAGTTGGTAGAATATATTGACCCTCATTTAATTAAAGTCCCGAAGTTTGTAAAAGAAGTTGTGAGGCAAGTTACATCTGTATATTTCCGTATTCTTGCTGGTTCAAACGTTTACGGTAAATAAAGCAGCAATGGCGCCAGATACAAACCAATAGACAGACAGAAATAGTGGAATAAACGCCTATCAAGAAACGAAAGCTCTCAAGTTAAAACCTTATGAATTCAATTTATATACTGATGGCATTAGTTTGTTTTAAAACAAACAGTTTTGTAAAGGTCTCATGCAGGTTAAGACGTTCAATTGCAAATATCAGCTCTTCTCTTAAACCCTTGGTTTGTTAGGCAGTTAGCTGAGTTAGGGTTAAAATCGGATGTTCTATTATGGATAATTATCCATTATTATCCACCGTACTATCTCCACATACTGACGACCAATATTTCCCTATATGTCCCTAGTATTCGCGCAACAACCTGCGTAACACCGTGTGACCCTCCTGCAAGAATGAACAACAGCACAACCACCACTCTGAAACCCCAAACGAACGTCTCAGTTTCAAATGCGATACCTCGTTACGTCAACCCCATATCAGAAACACCCCGGCCGGCATCCAGCATCGAGATGACGTCATCATCACGTGATACCAAGCATGATGTCAACGGTAACCCAGCGCCAAGGATCACGGGAACGATGAAATCACCTTACGCGGTAGTAACCCAAGATCTTCAAGGCGAAACAGGTAACATTCGTAATGGCGGTCAAGAATATGAATTTGGTACTGACGGTCGCGGATCTCATAGAACCTGGTCAACTGGACTGTTCTCGTGTTTCGACGACTGGTCTTCATGTAAGTAAATCCAGTTGGAAGAATACCTGATTGAATGATAATGATGATCACGATGATCATCGTCATCGCGGATAACATGTTAATAATCTTTACCATCACCGACATTTTCTATCACAGGTTTGCTAGGCTTTCTCTGTCCATGTTGCCTGGCCATGACCATCAGTTGTACCTTAAACGAATGCTGTTGCACTGCAAACTGCTACCCCGTCGCAACCAGAACCAAAATACGAACCGAATATAACATTATAGTAAGTACTCTAACCTGTTCGTCATTATGCTTGTACTGAGCACAGGTTACATTTTAGACCTCTAGAGCAACAGCCAAGAGGTGACATTAATATAGTTGGGCAAACTTGTATAGCTATTACTATTAGCTACATGCATAAGTGTCTATGGCCTCATATTTTTATCTAGGGAACGATCTGCGAAGATGCTTATGTATTGTGTTGGTGCTATCAATGTGCTCTGTGTCAAATGGCGAGGGAAATCGATGACTCTGGTGATGACAGTCACACAGAATAAACAATTGCAGTATAATATATGCCATGTTCAGAACTGATTTAGCACATTATTGTATACACACTCATGAGAACTTATCAGCTTACGTTACCGAATACTGATCATACCTAATATTCTGATGTAAGCAGTGAAGTTTCATAGAAATTCTTTCCAAAATCAACATCATATTTTATTCTGTTTTTGATTGGTCGAGCATGGAAACAAATCGGTTAATCTGATTGGTCCACGTTGATAACAATTTGCAAATATTGCGATCTAGACAACATATATAATGCATGATATTCTCACGAATTATGAATTTCTGTTCCGATTTTAAAATCGTAAGAGAAAAAGTACAAAGTTTAGCGTCGAAATGCCGTGGAAAATGCCGAAAAAATTGTTACACAATTGTTGCACCTATATTACATACAAGAAGGCCTATAATGTAGGACAATATTTTAACAGCAGCCTCGACTTAATACGGTTATAATTGGCTCAAATTTCCATATTATTAATTAACATGATAATATCAACACCGGCGTGTGTAGTATGAATGAACCCTAATATCAATTGGTTTGGTTCGACTGTATTGATCGATTGTTAATGGCACGAACAGCGAGCATATCTTCTCCTTTACTCGAACTGATGGATTCTGCCGAGGGAGAAAATTATTACACAGGTTTGAGAAATGTACACATATATTATAATCATTATATACCGATATTTCTCGCTTCGCTGACGGTCTGTATTTTGTTACATGTAACGCTTCACGGAACGCAATGTAAATATGGGAAATGAAAAAATTAAAGTGAAGCATCAAATGATTTGAACAAACGGAAGAAGTGCCAATAAAATAGTCTAATATTTTGTTAAAATTTGTCTATGCCTCTGTTGTTATTTTACTGATTAATAAATAACTGGTATTGGATTTCAAAATAAAGGGAAAAGCATGTCATTTTATGATCTAATCGTTCCCCCAACTGTTTTAATATTGTAAAATTTCTTCGGACAAGAAGAAGTTTCATACTCGAACAGATTTTATTACGATTTTGGGGTGTTTTCTCTTCCTATTTTGATAAAATATTTGAAATTTTTGTCCGCCTTCCGTGCGTAAGCAGCCAGCCGGTGCACTCTATCGATATACGAGACGGTTTTTCTAAAAGGTTAGTCTTCCCTAAATATTGTAATATTTTCAAAATTAGGATTTAACTTCGATGTTTGTGTCATCGTTTGAATTCATCTTTATTTTGAGAGTCCTACGGAATAATTCAGGGCATAACTTCTCAATGCAGTATCTGTCTGGCAAAGAAAAATATATTTACGTATTCATGCAATAAGACAGATCAACTATAATTTTGAAACTAATCATAATAATATTGTCAACTTTGCGTTCTACACTGTTCTAAAATGTGATGTAAATGTTAGTATTATTCGGAAGTTTGTATAAACATTTCAAAACAAAGCATTTTGCAATAAATTTCAAAGCTGACCCTACTTTGTTCATGTATATATATAGTACCTATATAAATTATGTAATCTACTGTCTGACCAAATATTTCACTCTTAACTAACACTAGGTGTTAATTCAAAATATTTTTTAAATTTAAGTTATGGGAAACTACAGTTTGATACCAAGGTACAAATTAATTTACAGTGTGTTTAAAAGCCCATCATGTGTTAGTTGAAGTCAAATGTTCATTTGAGATTTATTGATAACAGTTTAAAGGAAAATAATCGAGATTGAAGTCACCATGGTAACATCACAAGTATTGGTCTTACTTCTCAAGAGGCAATTGTCGAGATAGGATATTGAGATAATCAAGCCATACCCATGTTATCTTATAACAATTTGTTAGTTGTTAAAATATTATATGGAGCTAGAGCACACCCTCTATCACATATCCCATTTAAAATATGTTCAAATTATTATCACATCATTATTTGTGAAGCAAATGAGAAACAATGATGAAAAAAATTATTAAATTTCTTTGAAGTTCAGTTGCATTTGGGTGAACACCCATTAGAATTGTTGCAAATTTACCTTTCAGAGGTGAAAATTATCCTGACATAAGAAATGTTGAGTTTAATGAATTCCCCTCAATATTTCCATAATTCCATAGATCTTGAGCTTGCTGCTGCCATTGGGAAAAATTTGTTGGAAAGAAATAAAGAACTTGAACTTTTGTTATGCTCAACTCAGGACTATGCAGATGAACAAGTTCAAAAAAGTCAGGTGAGTCAACTGTGGTGGTAAATCAAACTCTGATAAAATTTCATGAATACATTCTCATTGACAATTATTGAACTCTTCTTGACTTGACCAGTTGATGAAACTCTCATACAAACTCTCACTTGTCAACTCTCATCAACTCTCATGCAACTCTTGTTCTTGTTTGAACCAGAACATGACAGTTGATGAAACTCTCACACAAACTCTTGCTTGTTCTTCTTTGATTTTGACATGATTGTGGATGGAACCTCAAATCAAACTTGCCAACTTTCATGAACTTTCAATGCTTTAGCTTGAGATAAAAGTAAGAGATTAAAAACTCCTTTGAACCTACTCTTTTTTCAACAGTTCTTAACTCGTCAACTTGATGATGCAAGAGAAGTCAACGAAAGTCGTGTCAAACTGATGGAACAGATTGAGAAGAACCACGAACAGTTGTCGCGAAGCCATGCCAAGCTTAAACGCGAGACGAAATCCATTCAAGAACACAATGAAGTTTTGACAGAAAGCTTACAATCTTTAGTTGAAAAATGCGACCTATACAAATCAGAAATGGAAGTTTTGAAACGCGAAAACAGCCAATTACAACGCAAGTTATCTTCGGCATCGCTCCCTGAAACGGCCCCTGAAAGTGACCCGAAGCCTTGTGAAAAAGTTGAAAACAACATACAAGATTTGTCCGTTGTTATCAAAGAGTTAAAATTCGAGCAAGATTTAGAGAAATCCATGAGAGAGGAATTGGAAAACGAGCTTTCGCAATTGATATTTGAAAACCAAAATTTGGAACACAAACTGCGCTTGTTTGCAAAAAGTAATCGAAACTCTTTTGTAGAGGAACAGAAAATGGAGCATGTGGAGGAAAGCAATGGCGTCGAAGAGGATGTTCCCGACGGAGTGGAAGAAGACGGGGATTGTTCAAATGAAAGTTTTGTTTTGGTAGAAGAGCAAAGGATTGAAGAACTCGACAGCGAGCCAAGCTTAGAACAATGCGATATCTCGTTTCTGGATGAATTAGAAACAATACCGAGATTTGGTGGGAAAATATAATTCTTTGGTCGAGAAGTGCAAGACCGAAGGTATACCATACGAATCTCGTGAGATGTGCACCGTGCAACGAGGGGTGCAGACCTCTCATGAAGAGGCTGCGCTGTGTGATAAGGAGGCGGTGGGGTGCGGGGTTGGGGCTGTACCCCAGTACAAGCAAATGTTTGCAAGGTTGTATGAGAAAATTCGGGAGGGAAGGGACGACAGTTGAGGGATTGTGGTTGATGGAAAGGGTCGAGTGGTTGATGCGTGTGGGTAAATATGACCGGGGTAATGGTGGATGTAAGGGGATGGGTGTGTATAATTGTGGAGTGGTGATGTTGGGAATGGTGAAGGGTTGATGCAAGGGGAGTTATAGTGATAGCAGGGGAAAGAGGAGAGAAGTAAGGAGGGTCACCATGATGTTGTGAGTATTTCGAGTGAACAGACGATAAGGAACATGGACAAAGAAAAAACAAACTTTACAAACAAATTGCAACAATTTACTTAGTCGGAATGTGAGAGAGAGATTGAAATTATATTAATAAGGATAATAGAATAGCATATATAAACAAATTGGAAATATTTATCGAATTGTAAAGAAAAACTAACTTTAATAAAATATTTGCTCATATTTCATCGTACAAGTCAATTTTCTTTAGTGATTTCCTGCATTTGAGACTTTGCCTCCCCCCCCAACCCGCCGCCGCTTTCCCCCCCCCGCCACAAACACTGTTAGCCATCCTAAAATCAAATGCTCGCTCAATCACCACCACATTGAACTCGGTTTTCTAAAAAATACAGTCTAATCTCCCATCTTTTATACTCCGTAAAAAAATTTATGTTCCTTGAACGATTATCACACTCGTATTATTCTATACGAATAGTTTCGTGTATCCTCAAGACCTCAATTCAAAGCTGCGCGGATTTAGAAAAATAGTATCCTTGTAAAATAATCTGCAGTTCTTTCATTTTACAGAACTCGAATTCCTAACTTCCAGAACCAGAAGAGCCATTATTGTTTGAAGGATAATTAGATCAGATTTCGAATTTAACGGCAAAACGGTTTCTGCCGGTCTGCGTGTGAATTCACCATCATTGAATTGACTAATTTGTGTAAGTAATTTGACGGTAGGTCAACTTATCCACGAATGGCTTACTAATTTTTTAGCGGTGTTTAATCTCCAGCGCACCTATTCGTCGTCAGAGGAAGCGCTGTCGTCGGTGATATGAATCTTTTCGAGTCTTGTCTGGCCACGATGGCTCCACTGTCTATATCTGGCCAAATCTTTCCGTGTCACTATGCCTACAACCTGGCAACGGAACGTTTAAGATACTCAAGTTTTTGAGCCGGTATATATAAAAACTCTCAAACACATTTTAAGTCGGTTTTCCACTAGCGATATTTTTCGTGGGAAGCGACATTTTACTTTTGTTCCAGACCTTTCAACTGCAACCATCTGGAACACATTGCTCAAATACAAAGGAATAAAGTCGCTTCGCGCGAAAAATATCGCTCGTGGAGAACCGGCTTTAGACGGTTCTGAATCGACAGACCAATCGCTAAGCGCTTTTCGAAGGTCTGGGGACGAGAATAATAGAATAATTTCAACTCACCTGATTGTGATGATCAACAACAATAAGATGACGTAATCCAATAGCACGAAACAGGTGAAAAACGCGGGAAATGGATGATTCCTGTTGAAGTATCAAAAGTATCAAGGCATTGCTACCGGGATCAACCTTCCTCAATGTCAGTTGATCATTGCAGTGCTGTAAGTCTGACTGATTACTGTTGCTACTAATACTAGCCTAACTAGTCTAATATTTACTGCTTTGCAATGTTTTATTCAGTGTTTCACTTTCAACCTTCCTCATTGCAGTACTGCTAGTCTGACTGAGTGCTGATTGTTGCTACTAATACCAGCCTGACTAGTCCAGTACTTACTGCTTTGCAAAGTTTTACTCAGTGTTTCACTTTCAACCTTCCTCAATGTCAGTTGATCATTGCAGTACTACTAGACTGTCCTAGAAAATTACATACCTCATGGACAGTGTACGGCATGACATTCATAAATGGTTGAAGATCCAAACAGCATTCTCGCTCCAATGGGGAAACACGAATTGTCTAAAACAAACGAGATATTTAGACTCACTAAAGTTGTATGGTCACCTGTAATGTATGCATTAAAAACATTATAAGCATAAGATATATTGCTTACTCTAACGGGCTGAAATCTAGGATAGGCATCTCTGAAATCTTTCATTGTCAACTGATGTTTAGCAGGTTCTTTTCCTCTTTCGAAAAATACCTTTGGAAAAGACAGGAAAATTTTAACTTACTTCTAAACTACAGGAGGAAACCTAAACTAAACTAACTTTATTTATACTGGATAGCTCTATCAGTTCTAAACTGTTCTTCCTAGAGGTCCAGTAAGGATCATCTCTTATTGATCCAGTGTTACTACAGGAGGAAACCTAAACTGAACTACCTTCATTCACATGCACAAAAGATTTCTGTAACTCCATTCCAACAGGAAAATCCTACTCAACAATCGCATAGCAATAAAACGGCGAGTTCACCTTGTGTTTTAAAAGGACAATGAGCTGCGATCTTAAAATCGTACCCCGGAATGCACCAAACGTTCCCTCCGACATTTCGTTCTGCGAAAAAGAAAACAAAGCAATAGCGCTTTCATACAAAGCAATCATTTCACATAATACATTGTTATAGCCAAGCGTAGCTCAGTCTATACACATGAATTACTTTTCACTGTCGTATATACCTCTGGCAGTGGATCTACCACAGGAAAGCCATTGTGAGTTGTCGTTTTAAGAAGTTCGATAACGCGACCGACCTGAATAACAGAGAAGGTTTGTTACGACAACTTGCGAAAAATACGAAATGCTTGAAGAGGCCCTTTACAATTGCTATTTTTCCGCGATTTTAGATGTGATTTTGATGGATGTGAACGAGCGGATAAGTTACTGATGGTCAAATAAGAGCTCTAAAACAATACAGCATTCATAGCTATTCGCTCGTTCACATCTATCAAATGAAGAAAATCGCCGTGTAAACAGGGTATAAAAAATAATGGCAACTTACATTTTCTACTAAATTCATACAACAAACAGGTTTGTTCATGATATTTCTAAAGAAATAATGAGAATTGTGATGGTCTATAATTGGTGTTCTAAATTTGGTTATTCCAATTATATGTTTATTACTTTAAAGAGTATTGCTCGATGAAACACTACTTCATGTAATGTTCAATGATTCCAACTTTGATCATTGGCACTGAAATGCGGTTATCTGCAATAACGCATGTCCCATACCTGGGATATTGTTGAAGAGAGCTCTTACCTGGCATTGAGGCCCTCGACCATTTGTGGTGGGTCCCAGCCCAAAATTGGAGCGCGACTTAAGCGAATGTGGATATCGTAAAGACCCTAAAATCATGAGGTGGTGTGAGTCCTGATTTTTCGATATGGTTAATCTGGGAGGTTGAAAAGCAAGACGGGATAGTGGGTTGATGAAATGGATCGCGTAGGAGTAAAGAAAATTGAGAAAGAACATTTCCAATTTACATGGACCTACCCTGTCCCTCTATGACGAGACCCTAGGGGGTAATAGGGACATTGGGAGATAATCATGTACCTCGTTAAATAAGTCACCTATCCACTTCGCTACCATAATAACCAACATCATTGGCAAACCATACGTGATGTTTCTCGTTGCCTCCATTAAAATAACTGTCAAACTTATCGTCATACGAACAACTCCGCCTGCAAACAACAACAATAACTACGATAAATAAATATGGATAAGAATAGACAATTATGATGGACAAACATGGATAATTCGGAATAATAATGATAGTAATGGTTAATAATGATTAATAGTGGACAATTATGGATAATAATAAATATTGATCATACGGAATAACAACGAATAATAATGGTTAGCAATGGATACTAATGGATAAAGACAGCAATGAGTCTGTTTTATTTCTTTGTGAATACACGTATCCCCCAATATCCCTCTCGGCCAATAAATGTTGTGTAATTTTCACCCAGTTTTCATCAGTGAATTTTTTTACCCAGAAAGGCAGCGGCTCCAACAACAGCATAAAGACAAGTGTCGCGGACTAATGTATTGGGAAGGAACGTTGAGAGCCCCACAGCAAAGAGTCTCCCCCAGGCAGCTCCTGTTAAGATGCAGGGTACGAAAAGGCCGCTGGGAACGAATGAACCGTACGTCCATGTCGCCAGCAGAAAGTAGACTGGGAAGAATAGAGCCAATACTTGAAACGTATAAGTCGCTGCAAAGCAAATATGAAGTGTTCTTACATACATAGTTACGATTCAATTCTAAACTGTTCTTCCTAGAGGTCCAGTAAGAATCATCTCTTATTGATCTAGTGCTACTACAGGAAACCTAAACTAAACTAACTTTATCTATACTGGATAGCTCTATCAGTTCTAAATTGTTCTTCCTAGAGGCCCAGTAAGGATCATCTCTTATTGATCCAGTGTTACTACAGGAGAAACCTAAACTAAACTAACTTTATTTATACTGGATAGCTCTATCAGTTCTAAACTGTTCTTCCTAGAGGTCCAGTAAGGATCATCTCTTATTGATCCAGTGTTACTACAGGAGAAACCTAAACTAAACTAACTTTATTTATACTGGATAGCTCTGTCAGTTTTAAACTGTTCTTCCTAGAGGTCCAGTAAGGATCATCTCTTATTGATCTAGTGTTACTACAGGAGGAAACCTAAACTAAACTAACTTTATCTATACTGGATAGCTCTATCAGTTCTAAACTGTTCTTCCTAGAGGCCCAGTAAGGATCATCTCTTATTGATCCAGTGTTACTACAGGAGAAACTTAAACTAAACTAACTTTATTTATACTGGATAGCTCTATCAGTTCTAAACTGTTCTTCCTAGAGGTCCAGTAAGGATCATCTCTTATTGATCCAGTGTTACTACAGGAGAAACCTAAACTAAACTAACTTTATTTATACTGGATAGCTCTATCAGTTCTAAACTGTTCTTCCTAGAGGTCCAGTAAGGATCATCTCTTATTGATCCAGTGTTACTACAGGAGAAACCTAAACTAAACTAACTTTATTTATACTGGATAGCTCTATCAGTTCTAAACTATTCTTCTCACCTTGTGTTGTATGGAACAAACTTTTTATTGACTGCTCAGGTGTCCTGAACGCAAGAGTTCCCATCAAACTGTATTCACCATCTTTACAAAAAAACTTTAAAACAAAACAAAACAAAACATTGTAAAATCTACGTACAGCTGTACATGGCATGGTTGGCATATATTCATTAAAAGCCACTGTATTTACCTGCAATGGTTGGGATATGTTGTTGACACCGATTGGTTGGCAAACGTCGTAATAATAAATTAAATTGAACATAGTGCAAGTCGTGATGGCAGCAATCACGATAGCTTCAAGGACTCGTTTCCAAGCGGATTTGATGTATCTGAAATGAAAGTTAGTTTGTTTAAATATTGCTGCATGGTGTTGTGTTTTTCAAATGTGATTGGTTCATTCGTAGTCACATGACTTTAAATAAATGCAATGTTTCCCGCCAGAGAACAAGTGAAAAATTGTTGCCCACTTCTTGTCATAACAAAGTAAAGTGGGCTTTCTTTGAAATGAAATTGTTGGGTAAAATGTATGTTTTTGTTCCTATATAACTATATGTACACTAACTACCTCGGGAAATAGTGAGTTTTGCTTTCCCTCGAGCTTCAATGTTTCCCTCCAATTCGTCTCGGGAAACATTCAGACTCTTGGGAAAACAAAACTCACTATTTCCCTCGGGAGCATACATTAAATGTATGATAAATGAAGTGTTGATATATAACATTTATAGTACGCGCGTGCTGATTGGTCGAGAAGCGTGTTTCTGTATAGGAACACGGGAATTTTCCCGCCGAACTTGACAAGCGAAGCGATGTAATGAGAATTTGTAATTGAATCGAATCATAATATTTGTACAAAATCTTTTTATTGAGTTATATTATAAAAGAAATAGAAAACATTTTTTCCTGTGTTTCTATACAGTTATAGAAACACTTGTGGGAGTTTGGGAGAACTCGAAATAATGTGGAAAAACTCGCCCTACGGGCTCGTTTTCCCACTGATTATTTCTCGTTCTCCCAAACTCCCACGCGTGTTTCTATAACTGTATAGAAACACGGAAAATGTTTTCTGTTTCTTAATTGTGTTTATAGGCACGAAGTACACGCGCCTGAAATCACGGCTGAAATGACTTACAGTATGATATTTCACGCAGTGGCGTAGCCAGCCTGACGATTTTGTCCCGCTATGTAAATTTCGAGTTATTATAATTATTCAAGTCTTTAGAAATCTATTGTTTTCACAGTCAGTGAACACAAAAATATTAACATAGCGGGACAAATCGGCAGGCTGGCTACGCTACTGATTTCACGGCAAAAAATCGCAAATAGTTTTGAAGTGCAACAACCGCTGTTTACCTGATTCTGAAAACTGTTAACTTCTGATTAATAAAATTAAACAAGGCTCCGAGTAATCCTCCTAAAAGAAAGCTACAGCTAAATCAAGTGCCTGAGGTCATCGCGAATACCCTGCTTCTGCAAGGTTGGGGAAACATAACGAACAGAAAATAAACACATAGTCATATACGTTCTTATTTAAGGTTCTACTCAAGCGAAATGTGTTACACAGTTACTTAATAACCTTCCACCACAAACTTTTACTTCTGGGGCCGGTTGTATCAAGCCCGTTTAGCTTAAACGGTGGTTAAGTTCAAAATAGAAAGCACGTCTATCGTTTACTCAACAGCAAACTATATGTTTTTAACCTTAATACAAGATACTGTTTACAACTATATATTAGTGTAATATTCAAGTTCACTCATTCAAGAGAGATGTAAGAGCGTTATTTAATTTTGACTTATCCACCGTTTAAGCTAAACGGGCTTGATACAACCGGCCCCAGGGGACTACGACCTTTATCTTCCTGTTCCGTGGCCCCTGTAACTGAGCTGTTACGTCCTACAGTAGAAGACATTACATTCGAAAGAAAACCATACCTATTAGCCCCATGATCAATAAAAAAGGCATTTCGTAAACAGAATACTGAATATCCTATAAAGACAAGAACGGTGCAAGTTTAGTGTAACTTCACATGCAACTTCAGATAAAGATAATGTTTACTACAACACTACAAGCGCATTTTTTTCATCGCGAGGAAGTGAAATTTCAAACGGTACTCACGGAGAAAGATCCAAAGTTGATCAGACCAGGATACGACAGCTCTCCGCTGTGACCGTGATATATTGAGAGCAGCCAATTCAGACTGAATGTTGAAATAACCGAGGCGAAAAAAATACGCCAAGTCAAAGATTGATTCCAAAAACTAGCGCCTTCTTCCAAACTGAACAGGACACCGCCTGGCGAAGGACGAAAAGTAAGCGGGCATTAGATTCACATATATAAACAACATTTGATGCAGTCAGTTATCAGTGATAAGTGTTCACCCTCACCCCCCAATCTCCTCCCATCTCCTGCCCCCCCCCATCCCGCCTTTCCCCGTCCTCCAAAGTTATCATTCCAGTGTACTTAGAGGTCAGTGCAATAACCAGTCTTACCCACAGGTGCCCCAAATGCGGCAGACACACCAGCAGCCGCGCCGCCAGACACGAAATCTCGTTTCTCGTGATCCGTGCGAAAACGATCAAAAAGTTTGAAATCCCTTCGAAATAAGATGGAGCGGCCCTGTGATATCCCAGCGGCCAGAACAGCGCCAGAGTGAATCATGGGTCCTTCCTTACCGACCGCAAGACCCCGGCTACTGCAAAGATTACACCCACAGCTTTGATAACCAGAGTCTAAAGAGAACGTATTCAATATTATTACAAAGACAGTTGTATTATACTGAAAACTAAAACACTCCATTGAAGCAGAGATATGTTGATTTCAACATGCTCTTTGGCAGAAAGAAAATTTCATAGTTTTTTATACATGTAGTTAGCCATTTTTAGTTGATGTGACAAAATTACCTTTAAACGAACAACATGAGGAATTTTTACACCATTCAGGAAACATTTTATAACTGGGATACCACTACCAGCAGCAACAGGCTAAAAAAAGCACAATAGATAAGTGTTTCTTCTTGAACATGTGTGGTAAACATTTACCAGTTACCCCTGTTCACCCTCCCTCTCGCCCCTCATTACATCTAACATGTTTGGGGACTATGTTCACGTGCACACTACCCTCCTTCCCTCTCCATCCCTCACTATCTATCATGTTTGGGGGCCATGTTCACTTCACCCTCTTTTCCCCCTCGCCCCTCACGATCTATCATGTTTGGGGACTATGTTCACCTTACCCTCCTTCCCTCTCCATCCCTCACTATCTATGATGTTTGGGGGCCATGTTCACCTCACCTCTCCATATGAGACCAAAACTGCTGCAAATCCTACCATCGCAATATCTATGGCGATCCACAGACAAAATGGAATCAGAATTTTGACATCTTCTGAAATGTACTTTTCCAAATCTTCACAGAATATCAAGGATGAAACAAAAACGATACTCACATATCACACGATATTTCTATTTATAAGGACCTTGTATGGTGATTAAATATTCTTAGAATTTGATATTTTGCATGGTGAACTTATAACTTAAATAATCAATTTGTAGGAACACTGTGCATGTGTATATTTATAAGCAGTTTATTAAACCAGAAGGTGTTAATTTCCACAAATTGATTATTAATATAAGTGTAAAAAACATGACCATTCATACAGATTGTATTTCCACTACCATTTGACAAGGATACAATCGTGCAGGCAGTTATATTTCCATTTTGCAAGTTCCTCAATACAGATATCGATAAAAACCGCAACCAAAGCAGTCATGATTCCAACCAGAAACATCACAACCCATCTCGACAGACCAGTTGTAATATGTTCCTGAGAATACAAAATTGATTAGTATAAATTTGAAATTTATTTTCCTCTTTTTACAAAATATTAAGGTGATATTTCAAACTACTCTCCTGATGTAGGCTCTTAGGTCAAAACATTGAGTGTTTTAGTCTATTTTAGGCAGTTGTTATATGCCACATTTGATGAGAATATCAAAAAACAATTTAACATTTGTCTCCTGTGATAATAACAACTAAATCATCCACCTTAGGTGTGCTGGCTTTATACTCTTCAACATAAAGCTGGTTCTCAGGGACTTCATAATCCAGACTCTAAAAAAACCAAATTGATGCCACTCAATTATGCTGTAAAAATACACCCTATAAACTTTATTTGACTGTGTATAAATTATGATCACATCCAAATCTTTAGTTTAGGATTGTTTTGCAAGTTTCTGAATGGAAGACAGAGAGATTTCAATATAAAAAACCTGTTGCGATACTGAAACAGAAACAAAAATTCCTCACATTCATATAATATCAATGATTAGTCAGGGTATAAAGACTTTAAATATTTCGGAACAGCCAATCTAGGAAACAAAATATATTTACACTGACCTCATATTTTGAAAAAACTGTTTGTAGTCGACCTGGTTTTACTTTTCTTTGTTTTGTTGTTGAACTGGTGGATCCCATTGATCCAGACATGAACGCAACCTTTCAAAAAGAAATCTCAAAGTCAACTATGGCTAAAACAACATTACAAAGGGGTACGGGTGCTTCAAGAAATGGTGAAAAGAAGGTCGCATATTTATTGAGCGACCCTTTAGACTTAGAGTAACATAATGTTGCGTATAACTGCGCTAGCACACTGCCAGTCAAAATGAAAGAGACAAAAGGCTATTAAAAAATCTTGGTCTATTAAAAAAATCTTGGTAAGGAATCTCCATGCTGAATGGTATTGGGCTTGAGGTGAGGTCATATTATATGATTTGAATTTAGAGGCACATATTGTCAATATTTGAATTTATCATAAAATAACATTTATATTAGACATTGATCATATCAATGATTAACATAATCACGATCTTTTAATTGACCAAGATAACAAGAGATTTACTCAAAATGTAATGTCGACAGCACGCGATATTCTTACATCTCTGCTGTTACGCAGTAAGGAAGAATTCTCCGAAGTCATGTCTTTTAGCATTCTGTAGGACCGTGACATCTATTAAACATGTTCCCCTTCCAATCTAACTTCTTAACTTGATCCGGAAGATGTGGAATATGAAACTTATCCATCCAGTCACGAGGTTTTTAAACGCTTCCGTAAGCAATTCCCATCCACGTTGAGGTATTATAGTATCAAAAAAAGTGTCACTAACCACAAAAATAACCACGGCGTGCGTAAACGCAAACAACAAGGCCAGTGGGCTCAGAAAGTGATTATGGCTGACAATATGGAGGAGCCTGATATCAGTGATATGCAAATGAACAACGAAATGGACGTAAATGAAGTATGCAAATTTTATTGTATAAAGCAATTTATATGTAAATTCTTGAGGTATAGGAACGTGTGTATTTCATTATTTAATAGGTGCCATTAAGAAGACGATACAAAGAGAAATCGAAGGCTAAGGATCCAAGATATAGACGAAGGTTTGACCTTCGTAACGCAAAAAGCCTCCAGACAAAGGTAGGGGATTATTCATTTTATTGTGAAAAATAATAGAGCCGTCAATTCAGTATTACAGTTGTATGTTGTTCATGATTACTAGCATTTATTACATTTAAGATTCAAGATTGGTATGAATTGACCAAGTGTCCAACAGTGGCATTAACATGGTTAAATGGGGAGATATATTATTCAGGTAAAGTATATTTTGTTTTATACTAGAATATAAAATTATATTCTAGCACTGTCATTGTATTAACAATTATCAAGAGACTCGTGAATGTAGGCAATATATATATATATAGCCAGCACAACTAGTTTAAAGCTATAGCAGCTAATTTTAAAGTGACCATGTAAAGTCAGAGTTGAGTTTTTTAAAAAATAGACCAATTCCTGCTCCTCTATCTGGTAAATTTGTGATTATTAATATAATATAATTGAATAACTAATATTGATTATATGTAGTATAGTTTTATTAACACATTTGGATTAAGCCCTGATGCACCCTACTTTGAATTTTACTTTTTTTAATCCCAGATCCTTTTATTCATCATAGGGAGGGGGAATGTAACCACAAGGTGCTACATAGTCTCATGTTGTACTCCTTCTGGCTAGATAGTATATATAGTACTATAGTCACAGAATGTAAACATGTTTATGTATATGTTACATAGCTGCTTCTCTGCACCTTTAATGTTAGCATGAACGGTTGTCAAAACTGTCACCTGCTCCAACTGCATGTCAGCTGGTTTTTATAATATTAGTGTATATGTTTCACTTATTTTTAGGGCCTCGTGAGTTAAGGGAATTTGCTGAAAACCCTGCTGTGAAACAGGCATTTGTTGCAGCCATATTTGCTTCCCACTCAGTTGGACCAAACAGTTCTTCAACAGGTATGTACTGTCCACCAAGCTGCTCATATGCCACAATAAATGATCAATGAAATGATTTATTGCACTGTAAGTTAATGAACATTGCTATTCTGTGCAAATTAATGACCTTCAATAGGCAATGAATATTAGGTGCACTCTTTACCTATAATCGTAACATTTTAAATTGGTCTAAATTAGTGTAATAAATAAATAAGCCTAAATATTTATAATTTGACATTTGGACCCCAGTTATGTTACATGTGACTGTCAATTTTGTTATTGGTATTATTATAAATAGTATCTATTTTACAATAGAAAATTATGAACATATGAATGTGAAAGTCAAGATACCAAAAGACTGGAAACAATTGAATGCTCATGGAAAAAGAAAGCTAGTAATTTCCCTAGTTACCAATAATGGTAATGGTGATCATCTTTAAGTGTAATACCAGAATGATACATACAATAATAAATGCATGAATTAATCATTATCAACAAACAGTTATTCTAGTTTTAAAAATTATTAAGGAACCAAACAACCACATTGGGGCGATGAGGATCACAAACCAGAATGGTGGCCATCAAGTTTATTGTTTCGTGATCCAAGCAATGGCAGAAACAGGCCTACCGTGGATATGTTGGAGAGGATCATTGCTGCACATTTGGCAAGCACAATGCATTTGTTGATGATGATAGTGATGATGGTGATGACAATGATGGTGATGATGTTGATGGGTAATTTAGGTGGTGATGTAAATATAGATGGTGGTGAAGATCTGAGTGATGATGCTAGAGATTTGGGTAGAGATGATGCAAACTGGGGACATTGGTGAAAATGAAGATGGTGATGATGATGGTGTAAATATGGATAGAATGGTAAAAATTTAGCAGTGATGCTAGAAATTTGGGTAGGGATGAGAGTGATGATGCTGGTAATAAGGTTGGTGATGAACAGGATTTGAGTCATGATGAAGAGGTAGTTCTGATGCGGAAATTGTTGCTATATGTCCCACAACCTGTTTCCCATAATTCCACTCGGCTACGAAAAAGCCAGGACTACAGACAAAGTATGAGTGATCATGGTGCAGAAAGAGCATTTGCTGCATTAGTTGTAAGAACTGCATTCGATTGAAAATACAGACAATATTTTAAGCAATGGATGACATATAGTACCTTGATTTAAGTACTGCATTTTCTAATTAGGCCTTGAGATATCGTGAGCCTTTTTAAATTTCTTTTATCAAGGAAAATTTGTCACCAAACTCGGCGAACTTGGAGAGAGTAATGCATTTCATTGGAGATGTGTGTGCAGATCAGGACTGGGCGTTACTCAAGAACCTTAGCGAGACAATGGAGGAACTGGTTCAATTTTCTCCGCTACGTACAAAGTCGAAGCCATCTGTTTGTCATGTGACTATTCCAGATATTGAGATCAGGTACGTGAATTTGTTTTACTTATATTCAGTTATGCTGTGCTGTTCTATTTGGGGCCTTTTGATGTTGCGTTGCGTTGTGTTATTGCATGTTTTGTGGGGTTTTATACAGGTAGAGTCTCTAAAAATTGAAAAAAAGAATTTTTTCACGGCAGCAAAAGAGTGTCGTCGTGAATAGCAGATATGGCAAAACATTCCATTTTTAGTTTTAGGCATTAAATGTCTTTAAAAGCAGTTTCAAAGTCAAGAGATAGTGCGTTACTTATGTGTTGTGAGTTAAACTATATATATACGTGAGCAGAAAATATTTCTTCACCAAAATCTTATTTACGTCTGCAAAAAGGTTCCGTCGAAAAAGTGCTGTTGTGATACCATTTTCGCTATTCATGTCGGAATTGCTGCTGTTGAATAAATTTTAAAATCTGCATCTTACTGTTTTTGTTGCATTTTGTTCTGTAAAATTGTTGAAATCTGTTTCCAAACAGTGTTAGATGCCAAGTTCCGGATGATATGCTCCGCTCAGGTTGGGAACCATTAGGGGTTTGTGGAGATGGGAATTGTCTGTTTCGGTCAGTGTCAGTATCTATAAGTGATAACCAGTCTGAGTCTCTACATCAATGGTTAAAACTCTGGTGTATCGTCCATGGCTGTGTAAATGAGCACTTTTACATCAAGCAGGTACAGTGTAACTGTGGTTTAACTGGTTTTGGCAGCTGTATACCAACCATTTTGAAACATTAACAGAGTGAAAAGCTTGCTTTCATTTATGAATATGGTATACAGTATTATTAAAAAATGAAATATTGTATCAATTTGATCATTTTTACTCAATTTTATACCTCAGTTTCTTGCCGATGCAGATCGCGTTGATGGCTTTCTGTCATTAATAACAGATGATGATGTATATGGCGGTTTGAAAGATAACATGACTATGAATGATAGAGTTAGTTATGTTTATATGCGTGAGATAATGAAAACCTCTGTGGATGGTCGTTACTCTGGTAAGTTGCAGTAGTAAGGTTTTTAATATGCAACCGAGTTTGTTTAACGTGGAACACATACTAACTTGTACCACATTGTATCATTTCCTGGGAAAATTTAAAAACAATTTCCGACTGGCTCAGCGGAGGCAATTATGTTGAAAGCGTTCAGATAATATGGTGTTATGGTTTTTTATTATAATAATAGGATATCTCCAAATTGTGCTTTTGGCTGGCTTACTTAAAACCACCATTTGCCAGCATTGCTCTGCGCCAGGATATGAACTCTATAACACAGAGATATGTCCTCCAAATGGGTCGACCGAATCAATTCATCTGCTCTGGTGCCAGCTATCTGGTGGAACGATTAATCACATTGTTCCGATGTTGAGATGTGAAACTGACGAACGTAAGAAATTTATATAATTAATGTTGTTTATATGCTGTAAGCTAAAATTGTTCCATTTCAGTTGTGTTGTTATCATCTATCAGACTACGTTCACACGGGACCGGAAGAATTCATGACCGTGCTCGAATTCGTCCGGTTTCATCGTGTGAACACGTAGAACCGGTTAAATTTTCATCCTTTTTCACCGTGTGAACACCTGAACTGGACGAATTCGAGCACGGTCTCGAATTCATCCGGTCCCGTATGAAGGTAGCCTCAGCGTATCACTGCAATTGGGATTCTTAAAACATTTATCAACACTTTAATTGAGGTATAATTGTGACTGTTAGTGCCCCTTTAGTCATGTTTGATAGCCAAGCTTCTGTATAGTTTTTTATATACTTCCAAAATGGTTATATAATAGACTTTGCTTTCAATGGAACTTTAACGTGTCTTACCCACATATTTCATTATTTTGCAGATATAAATACCTTTTCCGAGAATTTTAAAACAGCTTGTGCAGCGACAATGAAATGCCAATTCGCACATAACCTAGACAGTGCTGCTGACGAGAGATGGATTTTGTGTGAACAGTGCTTGTTCTGGTATCATGAAAGCTGTGTATACCATATTACAAAGAGGAGTTTGCCAGCACATTGGTTCTGCGGTTGTATGAAACAACCAGAATGTATTTGGTACTACATATGTTTATGTCGCCATCTTTTTCGCCCTTTTGTGCCTGTACCTTTTTTTAGACTGTCATTGGTCGGAATGAAGTATGAGCAACCGCAAAAAATTGCTCTTGACAAGATGTACAAAATATAATACATACTGTAATTTTTTTAATTTTATAGGGCTAACGATTTTGATGAACCAACGAAGCTTCGACGATTCTTTGTTCGTTCCTCTAATTCCGAATTGAAGGTAATTTTTTTATTTCATTAAAATACTTGTGAAAGTTCTAACTTTCTAACATTTGACAGTGATAATTGGTAGAAACTAAAATGACTGAAACAAAAATGGTAAAATAGATTAGTTTAAAAAGAAGTTTTAAAAATACAAATGTTAGGAGACTATACTGTATCTTCCTTCATCAGTTTTATCAAATTGTTCGAAATCTTGTATTCTTATTTGAATCAACCGTATTTGTTAACTTTTCTTGTCACGGTTTCTCTGTGGCTATATAAGTCAAATGATTCTGACACAGAAGTCATAAAAACTCAACAAAATTACCACTTTTAAAAAATTTCCTTCAGTTGTTCTTGCGTAGTCTGGCGAAAAAAGAGGTGAAGAGTAGGAGAGTGACATTATTTATTCAAAGTTTGGCTGGTAATACGAATGCTGATAATCTTTTGAAACAAAATACTGGTTTGGGAATATTTAGAGATGTAAATACCGTAAGTATAAATGTTTCTTTGATTTTAAATTATAAGTTAGTATTTCGTTTACAGTAACCTAATATTTGAATATAGCACTACGCAGTTTCAAATATAGAACTGAAACTACTATAATAATTCAGTGTGTAGAAACTAGTATGTTTTATATATGCTCTCGCCTCTTATATTGCACAGTATACCTCAGTGTCTAGTCAGTATACCATATTGTTTGAACAGATATTACTGAATATACTTTTTTTTAAATTTTAAAACTTTAGAAAGATTATGTAAAGAGATTTGTTAAAACAAGTATCGAAAATGATGACAATATGCTTCTGGAGGAAATTATTCTCCTGGAACAGCGCGAGCAGTATATTTTGAAGTGTGTGTACCAGAGGTATAAGCAACAGATTGTGATTGTGCGTTTTTGCAATTCCAATGGCACGCTTTTGCTAACGGTGTACATTTTGTCTATCCAGGTTGTTATTTGGATCATGGCTAAAGCCGGAAATATAAGCAGAGCATTGGCGGAAAGGTTTTTTTTTGAATACTTCTCACACAATAAAATTGATTGAGTTGGAATTCTTAGAATTCGCTCATTGTTTATGTATAGTATGCGACTGGGTACTAACGCCATCGTCAATAAACACGAATATGGTTATAAATTTGAATAAGGTTAATTAAATTTGCGTTTTATGGAATGAACTAACGTCTATTAATTATGACCGTTCCAATAATGTTCACATGTATGAAATATGCTTTGTAAATAAAACGATTATATAGTAGGACTTTACGGGTTTTTTATAAATCATCATAAGTGCATGCGATAATCTTTATATCATTCATTCTAACGTTGGCGAAAATCTCCTATGATGAAATTAAACACTGAGGAGGCAAGTACTAAAATTACAATGGTTCCTGGTAGGTTACATGTAATAACATGTAAAACAGGTTCAATTCCTGTCAGCCATGAAAATACGTTGCACGATATATATTAGGAAGGTTCACGCGATAAAAATGGCAAAAGCAATTTATTGAGTTAAACTATCATGTCAAAAATTTTGTCAACATAACAACGTTTCTTTCTTTTACAAAAGTTTAAGTCAGAAATATCATACACCTGCAAAGGCTGAGATGGTTGATGTCTATAATCTTATATAACCATGCCTTGGTTATCATGTCAAAAATTTTGTCAACATAACCACGTTTCTTCTTTTTACAAAAGTTTAAGTCAGAAATATCATACACCTGCAAAGGCTGCGATGGTTGATGTCTATAATCTTATATAACCATGCCGTGGTTATCATGTCAAAAATTTTGTCAACATAACCACGTTTCTTCTTTTTACAAAAGTTTAAGTCAGAAATATCATACACCTGCAAAGGCTGCGATGGTTGATGTCTATAATCTTATATAACCATGCCGTGGTTATCATGTCAAAAATTTTGTCAACATAACCACGTTTCTTCTTTTTACAAAAGTTTAAGTCAGAAATATCATACACCTGCAAAGGCTGCGATGGTTGATGTCTATAATCTTATATAACCATGCCGTGGTTATCATGTCAAAAATTTTGTCAACATAACCACGTTTCTTCTTTTTACAAAAGTTTAAGTCAGAAATATCATACACCTGCAAAGGCTGCGATGGTTGATG